CTGTTCTTTCCACTCACTCAAGACGCAGGATAAATAAAATAACTTCTCTTCTACTTGGAAAAGCACAAGTTTTGGAGCCTTGAGTTGGCTGCACTGGAAATTAGAAATATCTTTGATGATGCACAGCTGTCTTCATTTCTTAGTCACAGATGTCTAAAGCATTCCAGGAGGCTGACTCATATACCTGGAGAGAGGGACCACGGTTTCTCCTTCTTTCTCCTAAAGTCCTTGTCTGGTCAAGAAGAGACCAGTTTCTCCTTTGTTCTACAGCTAGGAACTTAACTACAGGATGATCTTGAGTAAGACAAAACCTGACGTTTCTTCACCACCATTTCCTTTTTGTTCCCTTACATTTGTCTCAAACATAATTTGCAGCACTTAGTGATCTTTCTGCTATGGAGGCTCACTGAAGACAAGACCCCAACATGGCAAAACGCAAGAGTTTTCCCACCAATCGCTGCTATATGCAGCAAAGGAAAGAGAGCACCTTGTGTTGTAGCCTACCATCCACTGAAGGATATCAGTATGGACATCCAGGAGTTTCTGAGCTCCCCAGATAGTCTCAGACGAAAGTCAAGCCTCTGAGATGAGCAATTAAGAACAAAATTTCTGAAGCTCTTTGTCATATGGTTCCCAGCTTTGTGACTCTAAATAGTGTCTCTCCGCAAAAGAATTCCATTATTCCACAACAGCAACTCCTCTTTTGTTCTTTTGTAGCAAGCAAGTGATCATTACTCACCACCTCAATCCACCCAAGGGCTTTCACCTGGAACCCAAGTGCATAAGTAATTAAGATTTGTGTTCTTTGGGGAAAGGAGTATTGACCAAGATGTAGGTGGCTTCTCATGTGAGAAAAGTACTTACATACCTGCACAGTTGTACTTGGAAGGTCTATGCATTTTACTATAGGTAAATTACACCTCAATTTAAAAAAATTCTACGAGTGAAGACACCCATTCTCTCAGGGAATTTGCCCTATTTAACTTACAGCTACAAATAACAGGGTTCTCTATAAGCATATACTTTGTCCCATAAACACAAAGCAGTAAAAAAACCTGAATATCTTCCCTCCAACTAAAATTAGATTATTTTTCTCAGTTAAATCTTCCATTCAATTACAATGGACTATCACTGTACTGTCTGGGTGAGCAAAAGGTATAATTTACAAGAAACTGACAGAGCTGAAGGGATAACAGAACTATAACCCTGCAAAGTTGCGTGAGCATCTGAGGTCCTACACAAACCGGTGGCCTAGAGAACAGACCTCTAACCTCCCTTAGCCCGGAGTGGCAAGAGCACAAGTGGTCTCAATGCATAACAGAAAGAATGGACATTTTTTGGCCAGGCACGGTGGCTCACGCCTGTAATCCCAGCACTTTGGGAGACCGAGACAAGTGGATCACCTGCGGTCAGGACGTTCAAGACCAGCCTGGCCCAACTGTGAAACACGCTAACAAAACAACACCCGCAAAAAAAACAAAAAACAAAATAAAAAAAATTCAACACGCCAGCGTCAGGTGGCAGCGCTGCTTGCAATCAGCTACTCTCGCGCACGCCGCACCACACGCTCGCCTCTCTGCACCCTAGCTGGCGGGCTGCAGTGAGCTAAGGATGCCCACCCGACTTGCACTCCAGCGCGCGCGGATACCAAAACCTCGCGCGCGCGCCTCTACACACCCCAACAACCCCACTCGCGCACCATCTTTCCTTTTAAACCACGATCACTACTCAGTCCAGCTCGAACAACACAGTTCACCACAAAAACTCCCCGATGAAAAGATTTACCTCAAAGAATAAATAACATATAAATCAAGATCTAAATAAGCAGTCAGAGCTTGAGATTTTTATTGAGAATAGCTATTTATTCGACTCTATCACCGTCCAGTTTCTCATTCAGCAATAACCATCACCCTTTACAATAATCTCGATCCCGCAATCACACACTTTAGCTGTAGCTACTACTACCACGTCTCTGAGTACCACTTATTCACACTCAGCAAGGCCTACGCAACTATTGAACACCTTCATGCCCACACCTTCGCTCTCACTCCCTTCTAACGATGGTTCTACTTTCATAATGAAGCAGACACGCTAAAGCTCGCTGCAACTAGAAACACGATGTTTAAAATGCTCGCCATTCCAACGATAGTCTGAATGGGCACCCCTCAATATGCATACGACATACATATCATTACTCCTCTCTTCACCTCCGTCAAAGTCTTTCGCAGTCGACATTATAACACACTCCAATCCACTTCAAAATGAATAAAAAACTGAAACACTCCATCTTCATGAAAAACTTACAAATCAAGTCAGCACATACACTCATTTTTCATGCAATTCTAACTTAAAAGCCTGAGTAACAGCTACTCCTCCTAGAGAGAAGGAAGCAGAAACGCAGAAGGTAAGCCAACCAGTCAAAGAACGAAGGGGCCCCATGACCTCTCTATGGTTCAGTAACTTATTGAAGGCGCTGATCAAACTCTGCGCAAGTTATTTTCCCTCATGAGTTTCCAAGGATCTGGGATCACTGTAACCACCGCACAATGATAACAGAACATTTCCTGCTTCGAATTTGGCGAGAAACTGAGCACTCAGAACAAAGATCCAACGAGCCTTTCATGCTGGCTACAGTTCAGCCATTACACCACAACTCAAAACCCACAAGGCATTTCAATAACACTCAAACGGTGTTTCAATGATGGCAACCTTGTATCATCCGGCGCCACGACACCACACAAATCCGCTCTCTACACCACCTGATTACGCTAATCCTCGCGTTTAGACTCGACAGCCGCGCCCACCTCACACATATTTCGCTTAACCTCTCAACTTGACAGGCCTAGGACGTTTAAACTGTTTTAGGGATTCACACCCACCACTGCTAGAATAGTGACAACTACAACTTACCGACTGTCCTTCAGTAATGACACAAAACTTCGAAAATATTAACCCGCCTTCGCCCTTTGCTTTGTCACTGAAGCAACTATACAGCTTTCTATGATCATATCGCACTGCATACAGCTTGTTATGTGAACTCAAATGTCATAAACACTCCTTTGGCCCTTTTTGCCTTAAAGCACAGACAGAAGGTTTGTAAGCTTGTTCGCGAAATATCAATTGGTTCCTCTGCTCCCATCGCGCTGCTAGGCGACACTGTGTATCTCAAACCACACGTCTCAGCATCTGTAACACGCTGCTCTCGCCCAACTCAGGATTCAAGTAAAGGGCTGGAATACAGGGCACCCTCACAAATGCCTAAAACACAAGGTATCGATGCCCGACGAGCCAATCCCCCCTCCTCAACGTACCACTGTCCAAGGAACGTTTCTGTCCCTCTTCCATTTCGTAACTACTACTGGCTTAGAGGGGCACCCAACGATCAAGAAACCTTTGCAAGTGAGTATAAACCTAGCCAAAAACACGTAGGGACATTTCCCTTAGGTGTATCGCTCAGACACTAAATCCCACAAGAACCCTACTTCTAACCAAAAAAAATCCAGCCAGGGGCCGTGGCTCATCTGCCTGTAATTCCGCACTGTGGGAGGCGTGAGGCAGGCAGAATCACCTGAGGTCAGGACAGCGCTCCTCCACACACACTCAGCCTGTCACACCATGGTCGCACCCATCTCTACTCAACCCAATCGCCACAAGACACATTCAGCTGCGCGCATCGTGGTCCGGCGGGCCGGCCCCTGTGAATCCCAGTGCTACTTCGCAGCCGCCTGCCGGCACGCGACTCAATTGCCTCAACCTGGGAAGCGGAAGTTGTACTGAGCCGAAATTGCACCACTGCACTCCAGCCTGAGCGACAAGAGCAAGACTCCATCTCAAAAAAACAAAAACAAAAACAAATCCGTATTAAAATAAATTAGGGAAATGATGTATAAAATAGAGGTGCTTCTCGGAGATTTAAAATGCACATTAGCATATCAAAGGTCTGAAAGGCCAACAGTAACTCAATTTTGTCTAACCCACTATTTCCCACACTTACTTGGCCACAGAACCCTCTATTCACCTAACAGTATGTTCTGACAAAACACTCTGCTAGGAACTGCTTCACCCAGAACCAAAAAGGTGATTTTAAAAAAATATTATAGCATAATTTCATATGATTAATAAGGATACAAAGAGACTTATTTTCCTGTCTCTTGTTATTTTGTCTATTTTGTTCTGAATAATCTTCTATCACATTTCCCTTTCTATTCACAAACCTTCAACTCGAGATACCCTTTCTGATACCTTTGTTCAAGAATGTTAATTCTTATCAGAATTAACTAGTCTGGAAAAAAATAATTTTGTGTCTTTTTAAACTCCTAGAGTACCTCTCCACTTCAATCACAATCTAAGTCCAGGGCAGGTAACCTGGGCTCCTAGCAAACACTATACCCCAACAAGAGTTTGGGAACCAAAACAAAACTAAAACAAATTTATCCTTATATCTCTGTGAAAATTAGCATTTTGAACATCTAATGAAACTTCAAGTTTGAGGATAATGGGATTACTGACCTACTGACCTTTGACTTCACGTAACTAACAACAAAATTTCTTTAAAATCTGGTTAAGCAATATGAAAACACTGAAAAGTAAACATAAATTCCACAAAGTTGAATGGCAGCAAAAAACATTTAACATCAAGAACATACACAAAAGACTATCATTACCACCCAAATTATCTCTGTTGCTCAGGATTTCAGTTATAAAAATAGCCAAATCAAGACAAAGACAATTACAGCTTAAAACGAAAAGCTACACCTTCTTCATTAAAGGTGAGCATCTTGTGAAACTGTGCATCTGGAGAGAGAACAAGTAGAGAGAACAAGTACAAGGCACGGGAGAACTACCACGTCAAGGGACAGAACTTCTTCAAAATATTTTATCCTCAGAAGTAAACCCCGCTACCATAGAAAGAAAAAAATATAATTAGATATTTTAAGTCACAGCATTTTTGACATCCTAGGGAAAAGGAGTTTTTGGTTTTAGGTTGGTTTTTTCTTTTCTGGTAAGGCAAAATAGATCTTTAGATAAAGTCATTTGTTACAAACATGAGTTTTTCTTAAGAACGAAATAAAAATTGTATTTAACTTCTATCATATATTTATTCAACTAAGTTGAATACTATGTTTGGAAAATTAAAGTTTTAAATCATAGTTTATATAGATAATGATACATTTAATCTATGAATTTACTTTAAAACCACTTTTATTTTGAAATACTTAGACTCACAAGAAGTTATAAAAATAGTTCAGAGAGATTCCAGGTACCCATTGCTTAGCTTCCTGTCTTTACATGTAAGCATTTATATCTAGGTTTTAAAAGGGTTAAAGTTTTTGACAGTTGATGAAAAACTGTCAAAAAAATGTAACAAGCCTGGTAAATGCATATTTTTGGAGGAGGTTGTAAGGAAGCACTACCAAGTTCAAATACTACTTTTATCACTGCCTTAACCAACAGGTTTTCTAAGATACTATCTCCATTACCTATTTCTGCCTCTTTCAATGGTGTTTTTCCATTTTTACAGACTTCTGAAAATTTTAGCTTTGATTGAAATAAGCTTCCCCATTCCTTCACATTAATATATCTAGCAATATTGAATGAATACGAATTATAAACGGAAATAAAAATGCTTGCTTTTATAAAATCTCCAGTCTTGCAGCACCCCCAAAATAATACAGACTTAAGTTGAAATTTGGTTTGTTAATGCCCACCTTTTGTGTGGTCGAAACACAGTTTTGAAGGAATGACCACCTTCAATGTTCTTTACAGCTTCTTTAGTGTTCCTTAAAAAAAAAAAATCAGTCTTATGGATGATTGATGGCAGTTTGTTCATAGAAGATCTTCATCTGATGGGAATTATCTGACCAGTTTTTCTAATCATATACTACCAACAAAAATAAACACAAGCATGTTCCCTTTAATCATATTATCCTCCACCATCACTTCCAAAAGGCATTGGCTCACAGTATTCTGTTTAAGATTGGGACCATTTATCCCAATGAACTCAAACTTTATCTAAAACAGGCTGGTCTAGCAGTCTGTTCAGTCTGAAAAAATGTTCTGTGCTCTGTTCAGATTGACAAAATGTTCTTTTTTGGCCGGGCGCAGTGGCTCATGCCTGTAATCCCAGCACTTTGGGAGGCTGAGGTGGGTGGATCACTTGAGGTCAGGAGTTCGAGACCTGCCTGACCAACATGGTCAAACCCCGTCTCTATTTAAAAAAAAAACAAAATTAGCTGGGTGTGGTGGCACGTGCCTGTAATCCCAGCTACTTAGGCTGAGACAGGAGACTTGCTTGAACCCAGGAGGCGGAGGTTGCAGTGAGCCGAGATTGCACCACTGCACTCCAGCCTGGGCAACAAGAGCGAAACTCTGTCTCAAAAAAAAAAAAAGTTATTTTCTAAGAGCTTCCTATATGTGTGATTGGTCCCTAAAGTACTTTGTGCTCAGTTACAGCTTCCTGTCATCTCATCTGCTTATATACAAATAGCTCAACTAAGTAACCCAACATACAAACTCTCACTAAAATCGCATGTTGCATCTTAGGAAAGGTGATCTGGAAGCATTATGGACTATAGTGAGAATGTAAGGCTTATGGCAGTTTGAAGTAGGGATGACACAAAAGCAAATAAATCATATTGACAGTCATTCCCTCTACTAAAAAAGACAAATACTTGTTATTCTAAAATGACCTCTTTTGATTAAAATTTCAGGTTATGAAATATTACAGTATGCTTCTTTATCAAAGTCTACATATCAGAAGAACATGAGCTCCACGTTCCTGTAAAACTTTAAACACATTTTTCTTGCTAATGGACATCAGCAGTTTTATTGAAACAAAAATTGACATAACCTAGCATTATCTTTTGACTTTGCCCATAGAGAAACTTGGAGTTAAATTTACCACTTAATTTTAGAATCTGTCAGTGTTGATATTGTTCTGCAAATTTTTAATTTTTTTAATTTAAATTTTTTAATGTTTTTAATTCTTTAAAATTTAAAATTTTTAAATTGTCCTGTTTTACATGTAATATGCTTGTAATATACATGTTATGTATGTTATAACTGTAATGTATTTCAAATACTTTTTGAAGGGTCTGATATAAATCATAATTAAAAATGACTGGCCTTGACCAAAGCATAAACACATGTCTGATGAATGTGCTAATCACCTTTCTCCAATATACATCCATCCCGGAGGACAATAAAGTCTCACAGTCATGATTTCCAATATAAAATATTTAGATTTCAGACTGCTGGAATCAGATTTTAGACTGCTGGAATCTAATAATCTGCCTTTGAAGATGCCTAATACACACACACACACACACACACACACACACAGACACACACACACACCCTGTTTGTAGAAGTAATGTGCAACTCATGAGGTACTTTCCCTAAATACGTCCAAACAGATGACCAAGATTTTGAAGACTACCTTATTTCTCATTTAGTTAAAACTTTCAAGAAAAACTATTTACAATGACTTAAAGACTCCTGTATAAATAACTACCTAAATACAGAACAAATTGGGAGGATGTGGGTCAAACACAGCTGAGCTCCACTCAGCTCAAATTAGATGAGTCTTTTGACTACAAAGCTTGTTTTCTTAACATATGGGTTCCTACAGGACTCGATAAGATTTCATGAGCACCACAATAATCTTTTAAGACACTAATCAAAAACATGGTTCTACATTTTGAAAACCTCAGAAGTGGTTTTAGGACAACAGAAGCACCTCAACCACTAAAATAAACAAGTTTCTATTATAAGTAAAATTACCACACAGCAAATCCCTTAACAGTTCAGCAACCAATAAATAGAAAATATTTGTTAAAAGCTGCTATTTCTGATTGTTCCTTTGTATTCTTTGACTGTAAGTGAAACATATGGAAAATAATTGGTTGTCAGAAAGCTTCTGACTACATGATATGCATCTTATGAAAGAATATTAGCCTGAGCCAAGCATAAAAAACTTGGACCAGATGCACAGTAAGTATTTCTACTACCCTGGCCATGGGCTCCTCCTGAGTAGTATCTAACAAGAGGGCAATTTCAGTAAGATTTTACAGCCTAGCATAGTAACGATGACCAGTACATTCACTTCTTCTGGAATTAATACAAGAAATACAACTAAAGATGTACTACAAAGACATAGGTCTAAAACTGCCACATTCGCCCAACTAAACTAAAAGAACTCTTCCTAACGTATATCGAACACATCAGCAAAGACCAATGTTATACTGAAATGAGTATTATCAGATGTTATTATATGTAACCACCTTTAATATTTATCTATGTGCTACTAAACCCCCAAAAGATTAGACTTATGAGAGCATAATTTAAAAGCACGTTCCTCATCACTTTTTAAAGCTAAATATGGTCTCTTCTACTGAAGCAATTTATCTTTTTCTGGTTCCTAAAATAGGCATCAAATTTCTAAACAGAAGTAAAAAGCCTCAGCCAAAGAGCCACACATTAGGTATTCAGCCTGGTCTAAGAAAACTAAGTTAATAAATTGAATAAATTAACTCAAATAAATTAGGAGTGCACATTCAGAACAGAATTGTAGCTTTTGGTCAGCAACCTATGAACCAAAGGCAAAAATCTGCCATGATTAAGGCAGTTTTTTGTATACAGTACGATGTGTTTTTCTTCCCCCCACCCACCAAGTTCAATTAGCATTCTCTTTGATGTTATTAAAAATGCAGTGCCAAGCTAGAATACAAGCTTCCTAATAATAATAATAGTAATAAAAATAGATGTCATAGAAAGTTCCTTTTGGTTTAGAGTCTTCCTTAATACCTATTATGGTATCTTCTTTTTGCCTTCACACACTTAGTGTAAGAGATTACTGCAACAATCATTTGACTTTGGCCACAAACCATGACTACTGTCAGGGTGAAAGCCGTTGGAAGGAATTATTTTCTTCTTCTGCTGGAGTCAGTTTAAGTGTTGGCAGTTTCCGAGGAGGAAGCTGAGGGCTTTGGCGAAGATTGTCATCCATCTGTAGAAAGTACAAAAGATACATCTGACTAATGCTGTGGCACCACTTATGTGGACTGTGGCCTCCCCATCCAAACTATAGCCTAGAAGAGTACAGAACCATATGTTTCCTGGGCTGCTAGAGAAATCTTTTTCTTACAAATAATCTCAAGAATTCTAAATGTCATACCTCAAATACCAGCTGACTCAGTTTCTGTAAACAGCAATGTGGCTCATTCCTGATACCTTCATAGAATTACAGTAATTCCAAAAAATAAATATTCTACTGAACTCAACCATAGCATAACTTAAAGAGATCTTCTGATAGTAAGTGTAAAAGCGGTACTGTTACACTAAGCTCCAGTTTGCAAACTATGTTCACGTACAATATCTTATTTGATCTTCCCAATACGCTATGAAGAAAATGCAGACACAGACCTTCCCTGTTGTATAGATAAGCAAACCGAGACTCCGTAAGGTTAAGTGATTTGCCCCATGTCACAAGCTAGTATGAGACCTGAAACTTGAACCCAGGTCTTCTGATTCCAAAACTATTATTCTTTCAACTATACTTCTTTGCCTCAATGAAAATGACCTGTATTCCAATCAAAAAAGACCAGCTTTTTAAAGCTGAGAGTATGTAGACCAAAGGAAGCTAGGACATTAGGCAAAAAGAAAGATAAATTCTTTACATCTAATCCAGTGGTTTTCTAAACATTGGATCAGTTCTAAATGAGGTAACCCACATCAAGCTCAAATAACACAGTGCTGGACCTCAAAAACTGTTAGGCAGTATCATCAGGCCTCAGGCTTCACTGCCCTATAAGTTTGTAAAACAATAAGTATTACTATTTGTATCAGGAAAAAAAAAAAAAAAAAGCAAGCTTATCAGTTACTGGGGAAAAAATATGTAACCTCTTTGTATTTTTCCTACTAGAATCGCCCTTGAAATTCCCTTTGTTGGCTCTCTCCCCTACCCAGTTCCCTCAGTGTTTCTCTCATGAAAAGAACACCCCAAGTGGCAAAATATATACACTGGTGAAAAACCATATACTTTATCTACAGCAGAGAAGAACAAGAAGGAGAAAAAATAAAACTTTCATGTGGAAAGAAGAAAAGAACATTACGGTGCTGTTAATAAGAAAGGATAAGCCCGGTGCTTACAATCTTAAGAAACATTAACTTAAGAGACAGAGAGGCAGACATGCAAGCAAGAAGTGTTTTTGCTTTGTTTTTTTTAAAGCAAATCTTTTGAATTTCCTAGCTTAAAGGGTACTAATTGTGTGGCAAAAGTAAACCCAATACTCTTATCTGATCTTTCCCCAATCAGGCCACTACTGGCTTCAAAACACTATTTTACATACAACTTTAGTGAAAGTATAGTTGAACAGTTTTCTGAAAAATAAGCTCTGTAAAAAAACTAAAAGGGTACAGTTAATATGTGACCCAAATGACAATATTAGCTACAGAAAGGAAAATATTAAGCTATGACAAAATGATTGAAGTAGACTTGACCTTTTCAATCAAGTTGGATTCCTTATTTACAAGTTGTGTGAGTTTCTGAAGATTTGCATCTACCGTTTCTTGTCCAGCTGGAGAGATGCCTAAGAAGCCAGGACAGAAATCAGAGAAAGACAGGAAATTTTTAAAGCCTTTAAAGCTATTTAGATTGAAAGAATTTTGAGTCTACCCACCCTGTCCAGTGCTCCACCCTCCCCAAAAAAGGCAAAGAGGAAAACCATTCTGGGTTTAAAGGCGAAGAGAGGGATTTGAATGCTCCAAAACTAAACCCTGAGCAAAACGGACGAAAATTTGTCCACTAAGTAGACAATGCTAACCAAGTGTTCTGCAATTGGCCACAATAATTAGTATTAAAAAAAAAAAAAAAGCACAGTAGTCCTCATTTCCTTCTCAAGTTTAAGCTATTCCTTTCTTGCACCCATTTCAAATAGGTCTTTGGTCACAACTATCTGGATAGTTTTCCAAGGCAGTAACTCCCAAAAAGTTGCCCACCAGACATCCAAAGTATTTAGAACTTAAAAATACAAATTCATAGGATTGATGCCTAAAAGATTCTAATTTAGTAAGTCTGGAATAGGACCCAAGATTTTTTATCTGTCAAATAATCAGGTTTGCTAACCACTGCTCCCAAGTTAACAAGGTTGAACATTACTTAATTTCATGACTCCCAAACTACTAACCCCTTCCTGTATACAGAACACATAACCCACCATAAAATAATAAGCTGTCCACCTAAGCCAGCTATCTTTATAACCTGTTTCTTCAAAGGACAATTTCAGCCAACCCTCCCAATAGAAATTTAGTATCTGAATCACTTAAGCACAAGGCCCCACTCTCTCAACGAAGCACATCCTAAGTAACAGGTGCCCTCTATTTACTATACCTCCATTCTGATGCAATCAGTTTTCAAATAGTGGAATCATGGGAGTGTACCTCACCAAAATCAATCTGCTGCTGATTTCTGTTCATGCAGGAAAATGCTAGAAGCAGCAGGTAAGAATCATTTAAAGTAATTATCCATTTGCATTAGGATAAATACTCTTTTTCAGCAAAGACTTAATACCTGTGGTTTTAACCTTTTAGAAGAACATGACCCACTTCAAAGGGGTAATATTTAAAGAACAAGAAGCAAGAAATGTAAAAATCCAGAGGAATAGATAAAAGGCAAATATCTATTTCTCTATTTAAATAAAAACTAATGTGAGAATAAAAATGAAGTCAGAAAAATATAAATCCTTGAAGTGTTATCAACCACTATTTAAAGACAATACACAAACTTTTAAAATTAAAATAAGTAGTGGATTTTGGTTATACATACATAGGAGAATAAGCAAACAAGTATTAGCTGAAGAAGAGCCAGCTTACCTCCAAGACTAAGCCTAAAATAACTGCTCAGGATGTCATCACAAAAGCGACAGAGGTTGGAGAGCTGTTTCAGATGTTCTTGTAGCTGAACTTTAGGAAACCGTACTTTGTAAAGAGGTGCAAGAAAACCAAAAACATAGGCATCCAAGGTAGAAGGCCTAGAAATAAATTAAGGATTTTTTAAGCACATAAGACAATATTACCTAAAGGCCGGGTGCAGTGGCTCAATGCCTGTAATCCCAGCACTTTGGGAGATGAAGGCAGGCAGATCACTTGAGGTCAGGAGTTTGAGATAGGCCTGACCAACATGGTGAAACCCTGTCTTTACTAAAAATACAAAAAAGCCGTGCGTAGTGGCAAGGACTTGTAAACCCAGCTACTTGGGAGGTTGAGGCAGAAGACTTGCTTGAACCCAGGAGGCGGAGGTTGCAATGAGCCAAGATCATGCCACTGCACTCTAGCCTGGGCAACAAGAGTGAGACTCCATCTCAAAACAAATAATAATAATAAAATAAATAAATAAAAGAAAATATTAAATTAAGGATTTTTTAAAGCAGCTAAGAAAATATTAACTTGGGATGGTGTTTAATTTTTTTTCAAAATTCTCAATTCTGAATTACACAATATAGTCTCTTAAAAGGTTTACTATCCATTTTAGTTTATAAAAATGATGCAACTAAGGTTTTACTCATTGAGTAGCTTAGACTCTAACTATTTAGAAGAAAATGAAATTTTCATAGATTCATTTTCACTCACAAATGTTAAATAGACGGGAAGCAGAGTGGGAACAGTCTTAGATGTTTTAAAGTCACATATGCAGCCTACTAAGTCAATGTTAGATTATCACTGGTAGAAAAAGTTTCCTATAATAAAAGCCCATTAAATTTTTTTGTTTGTTTTGTTTTGTTTTTTGACACAGAGTTTCGCTCTTGTCACCCAGGCTGGAATGCAGTGGCGTGATCTCAGCTCACTGCAACCTCCGCCTCCTAGGTTCAAGCGATTCTCCTGCCTCAGCCTCCCAAGTAGCTGGGATTACAGGTACCCACCACCACACCCAGCTAATTTTTTGTATTTTTAGTAGAGACGGGGTTTCGCCATATTGGGCAGGCTGGTCTTGAACTTCTGGCCTCAGGTGATCTGCCCACCTTTGCCTTGCTGGGATTACAGGCATGAGCCACCGCACCTGGCCTAAATCTTTTCTTTTTTTAAGTGAAAAACTCATCTTTTGGAGAGATAAGAGGACTTGCTTTAAATAGCTGCTCACTGAATATACGTGCACAAAATATCAAAATGATTTTTAAGGGAATACTCACGTATCTCCGAAGAAAAACTGAGATGTTCCCAATCTGTTTGATAGAAGATTTAGGCACTCCTTGGCATCTCTGTATATCTAATAAGGATGAAATTATATCTCAAAAGTAGAAAAGATACTCTAAAACTACTTTTGAGGAAGGCATCTCTAGATAAACTCATGTCTGCGATTTTTCTTGTCTTTTCTCTCTAGGGCCCTTGCTTGAAGAATAATCCACACTATACCTGTGCTTCCACTTCTCGGAGGTGGTAGAGCGGAGGCTGTCCTCTGGTCAGGAGAATCCTGTTCAGTGCTCCCTTAGACATTCTTCCAGGCAGGATCAAACTCAAAGGAAAAGGAATTTGTGAAGCAAACCATGGCTTTGTCACAGTAAAGTAATTGTCACTCTCAACCCAGAATGTGTGAAGCTGCAAAGGGAGAGAAAAAAACACTACCAGGATGTTCTTTTATTAAAAGAAAGATCACTCAATCAACATGAGAGTTTTTCATAAATACCTTTATATGAAGTGACTTCATACAAGTTTTCCAATTAGAATGACTCGGGATAAAACAAGATTATTTTAAAATGTGTGAGTTTTGTTGACTGCTATATTCCAAGCACCCAGAACAAGGCCTGACACATAGCAGGTGTTCAATAAACATTTGTTGAATGAATGAATTATACCCAATTCTATACATACAGCAAAAAGATCCATCTCCCACAAAGAATTTCCAACATGACATTTTCTTTTACTTTGTTGTTTCACATACTAGTTGAATGCCTAACAGAATCCAGTTTCACAGTAATATGAAAGAATTAAGATTAACATATAAGTGAAATTTTCTCTTAAGACTTTTCTCATTGGTTTTCTTCTAAACAGACTATGTACATTTGCAACTAGGCCACTAAAATACTGTAATATTTAAGAACACTCACCACTGCAGGGAGAAGCTTCTCTTCAAGGAGAGCAATGTAAGCCAATGTATCTGCTCCTTGTTTTGCTGAGAGTTCATAATCAGCATTATATTTCTATTAAAAAAAAACAAAACTCAGAAGTCAAAGAGCAGCCCCAAAACAGTAAAACTAATCAAATCAGGATTCGTATTTTTCCTCACAAATAGCAAATGTGGTATTAAAATGGGAGAAAGAGAAATACAAATCCAGTGAAACCTATTGCTTAATGCACATAAAAGTTCTTAGCACGGCATCATATACGCAATATGGTCAATAAATGTTATAATATTAACTACTATTATTTTCATGCTTGTTAATGACCTAGTTCAGTGCATGGCATGTAGTACAAACTTAATAAAAGCAACTATTATTTTTAACAAGAAGGAAACAGTTCCAGTTGGCTGTGTTTCTCCCCATGGAAAAAGAAAAAACCTTCCAATTTATAAAAGTTCAAAATGTTATTGACACAACTTTTTTTAAGCACAGTATTGGCAAAACAAATAACTTTTGCATTTATATAAATCTTTACATGTTTAAACATTTTGGATACACAACTCTCTACTGTTAAAACATTTAGATACATTATTCCATAAAACTGCTATAAGAGCTTTTTAAAAATAATATAGTTGCTAGTTGGTGAGAACTCAGATGTCATGCTCAGCACAAAATGTGTACCAACTATGTGACAAAATAGACAATACTATAAGTGTAATAGTGAAAATGGCTACATTAAATCTACTTACATACAAATTTCAATAAAATTCAAAGGTTATTAAAATATAAATTGACTACCTCTTCATATGACTTTCAAATCACAGAACTCATGCTTTGGAGCAGTGATTCTCAAATCTGTTTTTAAATCTTACCCCAGGTATCTCCAATTGTCTAATGAGTTGGCAAAAAAAAAAAAAAAAAGCTCGACATGCAGGGATCAACAATCTACTCATCTACTTCTTCAAAGTGAACCACCCACCTGTTTTCTTAAAAAGTTTAGTATTTTTGCTGGCTGAGAAACCATGTTGTCTTCAGTTGTCAAAATTGGTACATCGCCTATAATCAAAAGACAGTTTACATACAAGGACACAGTGTGATTTCCTCTGAAAAGATTGCAATACCCTAAAAACTATAGCAGATGCACATTTAGAGGGGAAAAAATGAGTAAGCTTGTCTTGGTTTTTTTGCTGTTTCACAAAGAGCGGTTCTAGAGAACATTTTCATTTCTCATAATTTCCAGTGATTTGGCTTGCACTTTGAGGTATTACTCAGAATGATCAAATCATAAACAACACAGAGCCAAGGTCACGGTAAGAAACTAAATCCTTAATATTATAGCTATATACCTCACAACTTTAAATACAAGAAGAAAAAAAAAAACAGTACAGAAAGGGGAGTGTAAAGGTTTACACTATACCTCTTGAACCTCTCCAGGTGTTATCTATCACATTGACTTTCAAGGGTGCACCACAAAATTTGGCATAAGCCTGAAACAGAGTTTGCAATCAAACATTTTAGCCCAAGTGCGTAACGCAAAGCCGCAGAGCAGCTGTACTTCACAGCCCCACCCCCAAAGGCAGAAGGCGACTGATTTTGAGGCTGCATCCCTCCCCGTGATCTCAAGTAGGCACGCGGCCGCCAGCCACCCGGCTTTCGGGGACTTTGCTCCCCAAAAGGTCCTGGAGACGCAGAGTAGGGAGGGCGCGCCCCCTTCTTTGGGGTTTCACTTCACCGCCCAGACAGCTTTGTGAGGCAGACAAAACTCGGGAATCAAGCGGAGAAGCCTTGACGTTTCCGCCGGCCTTCGGCGGGGGTACAGGCCAGGTGGGGACTCGTTGGTGGGAGGGAGCCCGGGGCGATGCAGCGTGCAGCGGCCCGGCCCTCCTGGACCCCGCAGCGCAGCGGGAAACCAGGGCAAGTCAGCCTCTCGCCTCTAGCCCCGCCCCTTCTTCCCGCGCCCTGGCCCGTGAGGCGGCCTCACCATCACCACCAGGGACTCGCTGTGAACCGATGGGAGCCCCCAGCCACCTCCCCAGCAACTGAGTTCCAAGGGGGCCGCCATCTTGCGGGGGCCGACCTTTACTATCCCGGAAGTAATTTGCCACCTAATTTCCGGCACGTGGAAACGCGGGGGCGTGGCGAAGGGAGAGAAGGGCAGTTTGGGGGCTCTTGAGAGATGGGGGAGAGAATGACTGGAGGGATTAGAAAGAACTCTTAGGAGAAGCTTGGCCTAAAGGGTAAGAGTTCTGCACCTTAAGTCAGACAGACCCACCAGTAATTCTTCAAATATTAATATTTATTAGATCCTTAGAGTGTTCCAAGCCCTTTGAACATTAAATCTGTGTGATGCCTAAATTAACTGTTTGTAAAATACGGATGACTCAGTATTTACAAGATTGTGGTGTTTAAAATGTCATGGAGGGAAAGAACTTGGCACACAGGAGGCACTCAGTAATTGTTCAACCCCTTTTCCCATATATATGGTCTCTGCCTACCTTTCCAGCCTCAGTCTGTTCTCACCCTCATGTTCACTGGCACCATCCTGCTTAAAAGTTACAGTATTTCTGAATGTCAGGTAAATTCTGCCCACCTTCAGTGCAGGTCCTTCTATCTGGAATATCTTTCTTCCCTATGCAACTTCTCCCTCAAAAATGAGTTTAACTCACATTCCCAGTGATGCTTTTACAAAGTTAGGAGCTCTGGGTTCCTGCAGCCCCTTGTGCATACTTGAATTGTAGCTTCTCTCCCTAGCTACAAACCTTTTGTCTTTCACAGAAGAGGGCTAGCTTCATAGGTGTGGGACCTGTGCAGCCACACAAGGCTCCATGCTTAAAAGGACTCCTCATTTGGCTGATACTCTTCAGTCACTGTCTTGAAATTCTTAAGTTTTGACAAGGGGCTCTGCATTTTTATTCTGGGCTGGGCCCCGCGAATCCTGTAGCTAGTCATGTCTGTGGGCCTAATGAGCATGGACTAAGTATTTCTTGATGTTAAACCTGACAATTTCTCAGAAAAACTATTAAAGAGGAAATTTTGGTCTTGGAAATGCTGTGATCCAAATGTATGACTGGGTCTCAGAGTTAGAACTTGGGTGCTGGGTCTTTTTTCTAGAAAGCACAGTAGTCTTTCTTCGATACCCTCCCAGTCATGCCTCTGAGTTCTTTCCTCTATCCCACTGAGATGGTCGAGTCTTCTTAAAAACTAAAACTCAAAAGAAACCTCTGCAACTTTTCATAAAATTACTATTCAACAAATAATTGCTAGGCACTCCCTTACTGTTTACATAGTCATCTAAATTACAGTGCCAGCCTTCTAAAGTCTTTTTTACGTGTTTCAAAAACAAGAGTTCTCAGAAATGAAAAAGAGATATATCAGAAATGAGAATTAATTAATTAATAACTGTATAACTGGAAAATGTGTAACATATGTACCATTAAAACTATTGAAACATTTATTGAGCAGGCCCTATGTCTTAGACATCATCAGGCTCTGGAACAATACAGAAATATATAAAACATGAATTCTGTCCTCAGGAGTTTACAGTGCACAAAGGAGACATACACACACCAAGGTGTAACAAGTCAGATAATCACGAGTGGTGTTAGAAATATAAGCAAAATACTACAGAAACACAAAGGAGGGACAATGCATCCTCTGTGTGATCAGTGGAGACTATCTGTTGAGTCTTCAGTATAAAGAAAGTAAAGTAATTCAACTTTTAGATTGTAATGGAACCTCCCTGTTTTGAGGATTAAAAATGCCAAGCCATAGACTGACAAAGGCAAGGCAGAGAAAAAGAAAAAAAAAATCCTAAGCCATAAAGCTCAAGGTCCATATACTACAATGAGGCATTTAAAACAATCATACAGAAAGAATGTGGATTTCCTGAGCCTTGTTTGTAGCAGGACTGAGAGGAGTGTATGAACATTCTTAGTGGACACATAACAGAGTTACTCAGTTTGGCCTTTGTCTGTACTGCTGCTGCTACATACAGTGATTTCATTTGCATTGAAGAGAAATTAAATCTCTTTCCTTAGTGTCAAATTGAGACCAGAATAGCATGTCATTGCATCTGATGAAAGAATTCTTACACACATGTTTATTAGTGCATAGATAATAGCAATCTTTTATTGCTGCAGTTCCTCTTGAGAGTCTGTATCTGTTAGATTGAATTTAAAAACTCTAACATAGCTAATTGCACAAACAGGCTGAATACTGTTGCAGAGAACCACACAGAAAATTGAAACCTTCAGAAATTATGCCTGGTATGGTTAGTTGGCTCCTGTGCCTTTTCCTGGATGCTTTAGAGTATTGTTCAGAGTTCATCAAAATCATAATTTCAGATTCCTACCGGGAAGAATACTATCTGCAAAACATCCATGTTTGTGTGGGATGGCCTGAATCACGGCTTTATAATGAGTATCCCAGACAATGTTTTCCCCAAAAAAAGAAATCTTATTTTTCAAAAGATGATCATTAAAAATGGTTTCATCTGGTGATAGTCATCTGAACTCAGGGAACCTGACCTTGGCATCCATACCCATCCTTCGTGTGTTTCTTAACTTGGGGGCCACCGTGCAAGGTTTGTTAGGCTCTTTTTGTCTGGGTGATTAATAATCTGGGAAATGGTGCTGTTGGGAAAGATGAAAGGTTTGTGACAAGTGATGGTGCAGTATATGGTCCCTTATGGGAAAATTAAATTGTAAAGTCTTAAATATCCCTTTGAACTTGAATATTCTGTAGTTTGTGTTCAGATATAAAATCCTTAAGGAGGGGAAAGAACAAACACTGAATAGAAATCAGGAGAGCTGAGTTCTTGACTTGGCCTCTGATTAGCCATATGCGCTTGAGCCAATCATTTTGCATTGATACCTCTGCTCATTCATTTATAAAGCAAAAGCTCTTTTATCTCTGAGATGCTATCATTTTATGTGTAATGAACATTTAATAATTTCTGACATTTATGGAGCAATTTCTACATGCCAGAAGTTGCTTCAAGTATCTAACATAACTCACTTGATCTCCATAATGATTTCATGACACAGGTACCTTCCTAAGGTTAACTAACATCTTTGTGTCCCTCCTTGAGAACAGAAGAAAATATCAGTACCCATATAGCCAGTAGGTGGTAGAACCAAGATTTGAACCCAGGCAGTTTTGGCTTCAGAGTTTTTACTCCTAACCACTGTGTCATACTGCCTCATGCAGCCTCCTGTGTAGTCCATTAAAAAGCCCAGTTTCACTCAAAGTGGAGCTATCAATGCCATGATATTACTGTTATTATTTATGTAAATAATATTTGTTTAGTATTACACCGTTAAACAAATGTATTAAGCAGCTTCTGTATGCCTAGCACACTGCAAGGCTATCAGGGAATAAAAACTCATGTTCACCTGTAATCCTAGAACTTTGGGAGGAGGATCGTTTGAACCCAGGAGTTCAAGACAAGCTTGGACAACATGATGAAACCTTGTCTCAATAGAAACACAAAAATTATAGCTGGGCATGATGGTGTGTGCCTATAGTCTCAGCTACTTGGGAGGCTGAGGTGGAAGGATCGTTTGAACCCAGGAGGAGAAGATTGCTGTGAGCCGTGATTGTGCAAAAACTTACATTCAAGCTTTAAAAGGCACAGTTGATGAAACAAGGCCCACATATTTGAACTAACTAGAGACTACTAGGAAGTACCATTTTTGTCAAGAAGACAAGTCTAATATGGTTTTAGACAAAGACCTGAATGTACTGCAATGCTTGGCAAAGGTCTAATGAGAGAAGTAAGATGCTAGCTGATCTCGAAGGGTGGGTACATTGCATTTAGATTGGCACAGAGTAAGGCATTGCATGTGGGCTGTGCTATATGAGTGAAGGTATAGAAATGGGACTGACTATGGCAAGGAATCTGAAGATGAGTAAACGAATGCTGGGTTTGGTTATAAGCTGGAGACTGCTCAGGGAGAGTATTGATTGACTAACTTGAGAACCAGAATTGGAAGGCATGGGAATTTGTAGTTTTGAGAAAGTAAAGACAAGTAAAAGTCCAAATACAATATTAGTGGATTTACGTAGTCAAGGATGGGAGGTAGACAGCTATTGTTACATGGACATTATAAGAAGCGTTTTATAAACCCTTAAACTGTATTACATAAAGTAAAAGTGTTATGGAAAATGCTGCTGAATATTATTGGAGGAAGGTCACTTGGCACCCTTCTGCTGAGCATATTTGATAGAGGAGGTTGTTAGAAATCCAGTGGCAAGGGATTACTGGAGAAAAGGGTATAAACAATAAGGACAGGTCTAAAAGCATCAGAAATATGACTGATAAAGGAAAAAGAGAAATGGGACAGGAGTGAAAGACTCAAAGGTTTTGAAAGAGATGATATAGTGAATCTACACACATATGAGGACAAAATTGGCTATTAGTGAGTAAAAGTCTGAAGATGCTGGAGAGAAGAAGGATGAGATCCTAGGAATTGCCTAAGAGTTGAGGCTGAGATCCGGAGCTTGAGCAGTGGGGCTGGCATTGAAAATGAGAGACATGCTCTCTTTCTGACACTGGAGGAAGTTTCAAGGGGAACTATGGGGTGCTGAGTAGATCAAATCAGTTACCTTCAAATTTCCCTATTACATTAGAAAACAAATAAAAAGTGCCTGAGAGAAAGAGATTGGGGATTTAAAAAGACAGGTGGGCACAGTGGCTCACACCTGTAATCCTAGCACTTTGGGAGGCCAAGGCAGGCAGACCACTTGAGGATTACTTGAGGTCAGGAGTTCCAGACCAGCCTGGCCAATTTGGTAAAACACGATCTCTACTTTAAAAAAAAAAAAAAAAATTAGCTGGATGTGGTGGCGCACACCTGTAATCCCAGCTACTCAGGAGGCTGAGGCAAGACAATCGCTTGAACCTAGGTGGCAGAAGTTGCAGTGAGCTGAGATCATACCACTGCATTCCAGCCTGGGTGACAGAGTGACTTTGTCACAAAAAAAAGACAGGGAATAATTTAGAGACTATATCAGGGGTTAGTAAAAAGTAAATGGGAGCATTGCTGACAGTGGTAAAAGTCAAATGTCAATTAGTATTAAAGC